CAATGTAACTTACATAGCAAACCCAAAAGGCACACAAAACAGTAAACATATGTAAGTAAATCTTCACCAATGAGAATAGCTGACGTAACTGCATAAATCATCATAATTCTAACAATAAAACCCTGTCTAAAGGCAATCACATTATTTCCACATTTCACAGATTCATTTTTAAAGAAGATGGTGGACAACAAAGACTGATCCTCTTACCTTATAACCAAACTGAAGATGTACATCACTTGGTTTGGGGTGGAACCTGAGGTCAATGCGCTCTTCATTGTTTCTGATGATGTACTTAGCACCGGGATATTGGTTATTTCCTCGACCCACAAGTTCTTGCATTCTACAGTAAAGCAATGAGTGTTTGAAATAACACTGAGATATCTCCCTTGCGAGTGATCAAATGCTTTAAGAATGGTGCCACTTGTGTTACAAAAAGCTCACTGACTTGGTCTCCGTCATCTTCTTACTCACAGCTATAGAATTTTAAAGTCCTACGTTCCCATGTTTATAATGATATTCAGTCCTATTACACAAGAAATGAGCAAAACTTATTTCCAATAATAACCTGTCGATGTTGAATGGTGTGACAATCTCAGGGAAAGTAAGATTCTGAGCAATGGTACGTGGAACACCAACTTGATCAATGGACAAGTTTGGGTCTGGAGTAATGACAGCACGAGCTGAAAAGTCAACTCGCTTTCCCATCAAATTTCCTCTGATACGGCCTTCTTTACTCTTCAGTCTCTGTTTCACTGATTTCATTGGACGTCCAGACTTTTGCATGGCCTTGAATAAGACAACGGGAACATTTTGATTAGCACTGTAGTTCTACAAATTGCTTTGAAATTCTATGTTCTATAAGAAAGGCATGGCTTGTTATGCTAAACACAAGCCAAACTAAGTTAAAATTGAGAAATTTCGTTATCTACCAAAAATATGCTGACTCACCCTGGGCAAACCAGGCATTTCATTGTCTATTAGTGTTGCCACATGATACTGGAGCATTTTAGTATCTTCTGCAATGATGTGAGCTGCAGCACCATTGAGTTCATTTCTCCGAAGATTACCATTTGCCTTCACAACATCTGAAAGCTTGTGAGTTAAGTCATCCTGGAAGAAGGGAGACAACCAAAAACTTATCAATAACATTAATGACCCAAAATCAAAGAAGCTACAAGTTTGGAAGCTAGGGAAAAGCGATTGCCTATTGTGACATATTAAAAACCTGACCATAATGCGGCAATTTTAAGTTTCTATACATTTTTTTATTTTCCTTCTACCCAAACTTTAAACTTCGAAAAAAAAAATCTTACAGCAGTGGTTGACCTCACATCACAACTCATTACCTGACTACGAGCAGAACCACTCATAACAATGGAAGGCCTCACAGCCAAAGGAGGAACTGGCAATACTGTCACAATCAACCAGTCAGGACGTGCAAACTTGGGGTTCATTCCCAGAATCTCGCATTCCTCATCAGAAATTCTTTTAAATATTTCATGTACACGCTCTGCTGTGAGTGGGATCTTTTTCTCTTGCGAGTCTTCATTCACCTCTTTCCATTCTGCAGTAAGATCAAGACCAAGTCTTCTGATCTGTGGCTGGTTTCTGCCACATCCACCATGACTCTGGAAAAATGAAAGTGTCAAGAGAATGTGACATGTTATAACCTCACGCCTAAGAACTGGCTTGCAATTCTCCTTCATACATGTAGCTGCATTGTACTTCCGTGAAATTAAGAAAGGAGAGGATTTGATTTTCTATTAAGTCCACGAAATCTTACTGATACAGGGATCCATATTCGCGGTCATCCAGTCATCCCAGATGACTAGAATCTGGCATGGACGACTGAGGTAACTGCAAAAGTCGACCTTCGGACAAGTGAGGTTTTGCTCAACCACAAAATATTTCCAAAAATTCTTGTTCTTTTTTTTAAAGTACATTTTACCTGTTTTTAAAGCGCCAAGAATAACGGAGAATAACGGAGAATAACGGAGAATAACATACAACTTTTTGTCTGAAATGAGATCGTAAGTTTTGGCACCATCTTTGATAGTGCAGTATTTCCCCGAAATGATCGCAGACTCAGTTTTCATGTTGTTAACTGCTGGTGCTTTTGGAGCAGTCCATTCGCAGAAAATATAACAGTGATGACGATGTGGCATTTTGTTGCAGGTGTATCACAGCCTCCAGCAAAAAAGAAAAAAACAAGTGAAGCTCAAACAGGAACTGTTGCCTACGAAAGCAAATATTACTGTACCTTCTTGCCTTCATAGCAAAAAGAAAGACCGTGGCTTGTTTTTATGCCCAAAGGTACCGAAGCTTTGAAGTTACACATGATTTTAGCACTGTTCTTTCTTAAATTCTGCACTCTTGTCTGGACAACCCAAATTGCAACCGGGCAAGTAGGCCATCAGGCTTACTCGCCCAGCTGAGGACTCAGAAAAAAAATGAATACTGATCCCTGCTGATATTGTCTTCAGTAAGCTGAATATGCACCAATATTAATGTGTATCATACTCTAAAGTGAGCTTACATGATGAAAAAGTTACAAATGAACATCTGATATAGAGATGCAGTTTTACATAAACAGGTTAAAGACATCAAAACAACTGCGAGACTGTATAAGAACAAAAATTAAAGAGTAACTCACCATCTTTTTTTCAGCCTCATCTAAGTCTACTGACTGTTGTTTATCATCAACAACATCCCCACCTTCGCAGATTTTTTTCCCTTTGCACAGGTCATAGATGTGTTGCAGACGCTTGCTTGGTTGATTGAGAGACTTTGATATGATTTCTTTCACTTTAGGATTGTTCTAAAATAACATATTTAGCATAATCACCATCAGTAGGTTTTCATTAATTTTGTTAAGGACTTTGTGGTTGACTTTCTGTTATCAAAAGTCAGACATTTATATGAAATTATGACAGAAGTTAGCTTTTTCCTAAAATGCAGCAGACCTGATCTTATCTCAAAGTTTTTCTTGAATAATGAAGACAGATCTATTTTCCCTTTTCAACATGTTTTAAAATAATTTTGGACAATCAAATGGACACCTTTGAGTGATAAGAATAAAGTCGCTCCCTGAATCAAGTAAAAGAGAAAATTAGTCGAAATAGGAAAAATTAAATACAACAAACTAAATTTTCAAGATATTGAGCTAAATTCACCCACACTACCATCACTGGGGAGATAAGCTCGCCCCATTCTTTTCAGCCGAGCGGCCGGCCATTATTGCGAACTAAGCAAGTTCCTTACCCCGTCGACAAGGAGTTTTGAGCAATAGAAGCAGACGCATCTTAAACATTTGATTATCATCTTGTAGAAGCCGACATGAAACACCGGTTTTGCCAGCTCTATGTGTCCAAAGTGACCGGGACATTCAGTCATGTTTCCAGCACAAGTTTGGCAACGAGAAAAACGGTCGATTGTTCCTTGTCGCGGATCCATCAAACCACCCAGCTTTGGCTTTCCTCCCTCCATCGTTTCGGAGTATTTAACACCGCCTTCGGTGGTGACTGACATTTGTTTCTGTTAAAACATAAAAAATTAGAACTACAGGTGATAAAGTCGAAATGAAACATCACTTTACGCAAATACAACACGCGCGAGAACCACAGCGCAGCATTTGACCTTTCGTGAACTGTCGACGAAGAACGTGTCAGAACAAGAAAACCTCTAAAATACGAATTTAACTTGATTGAAACGTATTTTTAAGTATACTCACTATTTCATCAGGACTTAACACACCAAACTGGACCAGCTTTACATCCCGTAAGGGAGCTGGTGACCCAGATGCGAAAGCCATAACTTTGCTTCAACAAAGATGGCCGAAAGGATGAGGTAATTGCGGAAACGTTTTCACTTTCTTGCCAAAGACTCTCTCTCTTGGCACGACCTCGGTTCCCTAGAGTGAATGTCGGATGCGTTCACTCGCTAACTCCGCTTGTTTTCGTTCGACAATGGGTAAGTTTACCCACGTTTTCTACCCCGAAGGACGGCGAGAAGGTTGATATTCCCTTGTCTCACCGAACGAAGCGCCCCAGAAGCGCTTCTTCTAACGCACGCAGGATCTCGCCTTGTATTTATAGTCCGACCGAGAGATACGGGGTGTACTCAGATTCTTCAGGGCTGACTGTTGCATTGTGGGAGTGTGTACCCATTACAACCTTGCGCTGGGGGTAGGGGACAGCAATATTGTTGGTTTATTTCCTCGTATTTTACTATTTAGTCGTTTTGCTTTTAATTTATGAGAATATTAATTGATATAACAACCATCAAATTTTTGAGCTGAATGTTGCTATTTTGATTGTATTTATTTTTTATTACAGTTGTGGAAAACATTTATTTTTCATAATTTTTCTGGTTTTTGATGAATCATAGGATGGATAAGTCAGATAATTACAAAGTTTTTGTTTGTAGATGAGTATGTTTCTTTTTCTTGAGATTAACTAAATTCTCCTTTAATTTGCAAGTTCACATTTTTTACAGACAAAAAATATTCACACTTGCTGCTAATAAGTATTTAGATTCACTACCCAACTCAATAGGGACCTCAAGAAACCACGACGGCAACGGCAACGAGGACGTGGAAAAACAAGAGATCTAATTGGCAGACCAATAGCTCAGCACGTGCCTTTTGAAACTTTGTACATTTCTTAGCCGTCCTATGCAAAACAACAACGTGAAATCGCCAAAATTTGCGTCATCTGCGAACCGAAACCGCGACGGCAAATTATTTTAATTTCCATTTAGAACTCAACGGCTACTTTATACGTCATGCTGAAGTTGAGATGTGGAGCTCTACGAGACAGTAAGCTCCTGCAGCCATTTTTGAACTTCTAACTAAGAGTAGAAATTCATTTTTTAATCGAAGTCTTCCTTGGCGTCGCCGTCATGGTTTCTTAAGGTCCCTAGTTACAAGTTGAAAATTTCTACCTAGGTTTGGAAAGAGTTGGCTGGATTTCAAGACAGATGAAAAGAATCAGAAACTTATGAACAAGTTTAAAATAAAAGTGCTTTATTAACATTTTCCTCGTGCACAACTGTTAATACAGCAGTGATTGGTCCTTGGCCAAAAATTACTTATGTATCAACAAGAGACAAAAGCAAAACAGAAGAATTGAGGACATTTAAAATCAAGTCCTAAATATGTCAGTACATCCACCAAAATTCTGAATACTTTGAAAAATATTGCTGTCACTTCAGTTTATGGAACAAATGATGTGCAACCTGTGAAAAAGAATATCAAAATCATTAGAAATTACATGTAAATACACATCCAATGGAGTATCTAGTAGATACAACAATGAAGCTAAGAGTATTTCTAACAGTTATGCATTTGTCTTGAAACCTTGTGAGAAAGTAGAAAATGCAAATGTAGTAGAACAATAGAGCCAACGGGTTGAGCGTTAATTGGCTGGTTACTACATCTAACGATCAAAGATTTAAGCCTGAGCTTGATCAAGGCTGTGCTCTAAGAAAAATTGAAGGGAGACCAGTGCTCAGAAACTGTGAAATCCAGGCTGCCTAGCATATGTTTTTTAAGAAAAAACTAAGATTCCTGGGTCACCCAAGAACAAAAGTAAGGCACCAGGGGTCACTGGGCACTGCTAGAGCACAGCCCTGTTGATCTAGTTGATAACAACAACTTATTCGCTTGAACTTCACTGGTAAAAGATCTTATCAACATATGCAAGTTGACAATCTACCAATATCTAAAAAGATTTACTGCCACCTTTCAAATGAAATATGAGAACTGTCAAATACCTGGGAGCATTGCACAAAGACTGTGGGGGGAGAGGTGAAGGAAAGGGAGATGTGCATTTCACCTCACTTCAAGCTTCTGCTTTTAAAAAACAGATTAAATTGCTTCTGACATTAAAACCTGTTTTTTTTTTTTTTGTTCTCAGTTAAGTCCCTGTTTCATTTCAATAGAGATCTTACCAAAAAAAGCATTAATTTTTTTAAAAACAATTCTCTTCCTTTGAAATTTTACTAGTTGACTTTTTTTTTATATTTTTCTCAGATCAAGGTAATAAATCTGGGACAATAAAAATTAACTAAAGGGCTTTTAAAATCTTTAAATGGCAAAAATTTGAACCAGAACAGATACAAAGTTCATTTTAAATAAGAGCTTGCAATCTGTTAGTGGGACAATAAAATTATACCAGATGAGCCACTGGACTCGAAAGCAGCTTCAAAGAGATTTCCACAAGTATCTAACTTTCCACACCCTACTTACACAGTGATCTGCGCACTCCATAAAATCAAACAATTCTTGTACACAGGTCTCTTCCGTGCTTGATTTGCTGCTAACACGCTGATTACAGGTGTCCAGCTCTAGTTTAACTTTGGAACATGTTGGACTCTCAGTGCACCTCTCAAGAATTTTGTCCCTTGGATCCTCTAACTCCTCCTCATCTTCATCATCATCATCATCACCTCCTGCGTCACCAGCAGGCTCTTCAACCTCTTCACCTTCATCTTCTGGGTCAGAATCCTCAACCTTCATACAAAAAAAAAATCTTACAACAGGGCTCTACACTAGCGGTAGCCCTCTAGCCACAGACTAGTAGAAATTCAGTTTTGGCTAGTGGTTTTCAATTTCCACAGGCCAGTTTGGCAAGTAAACAAACTGAAATTGTTGTAACATCTAAAAACATCTAAGATGTCACTGGCCACTTGGCTAGTAAGTTGAAAAGTTAGTGTCGAGCCCTGATACAAAAATAACTTATTATCGCATGATTGCACGGACAAGAGCAGTCCTGAAAAGGACTGTAGCAAGTGCCAGTGACTGATGTTTCAACAACCTGATTCAAATGCCAGTGTCAGGGTCAAATGTAGAAATGTTTGTCAATCAAATCTTAAAGCTCTGGTTTATAAAAAGTGATTGCAATTGATCTCTTTTAGTGTTAACTTTTGGCTGAAGACCCAAGCAACATTTGTTAGTTTTAATTGGTAAAAGATAATGTAAATTTTTATTCCAAAAAATTTTCCATTAAAGTCGGTATATTTCTCATTATCATTCAACGGTGATCAAGTTTGACAACTACAGTAATTAAATGTACCAACAAATGTCTGTGACTCCTCTAGCAGAGGCTTATCATGGAGAACTTTTACTTTCATTGGTTTCATCCAAAAGGCCTACTAAACAGCTAGCCATGTAATGATCTACAGCTGTTGTATGTGATTTTCCATCACACTGTTTAAACTAAGGGCTTGATATGAAAAACTTCACAAAGTGTCCTAAGTCATATTTCAGTGGAATGGAATACTTATTAAAATCATGTTTGAGCAAAAAATATCTTCAATGATGTTATATACATCAGATACGACAAAATATCATCACCTTCTGCACCGTATCCTAGTTGTGTTGTAACAATCTGAACATACTCCCACTCTGACGGTAAATTACATTCAACCATGAAATAATTGTGGTATGATATATCTTAAATTAGGTCTCTGTTTCTGTATAATAATAAAAGATTTTAGTAAAGATCATCGATACTTGCAACATTCCTACTTGCAACATATGATTGTGGGAAAATATTGTTCTCAAAAGATTCATTTTCAAGGCGAGATGACCACGAATTCACAATTTCCCGAAAAATGTATCTCTGTTCTACTAATTAAGAACATAAGTACATCATGAATTTTCCCCAGTGTCTTAAATTATTTTCTAACAACAAGAGGTAGGTAAAGCAGGTTGTAGCTATCTGTCCATGACCAATCTATCATTGTCACCCCTCTTCAAGCGGTTGTCGTAGTCGGGTAACGCGTTTAAACATGCGCTCTATACCATGTTTTATGAAATATTTATAAAAATTTGAATATTTGGCAGCTTTTCTTACCTTTTCTGAGACGATTGTGCTTCCAAGAAGCGCTTTTTCTTCGTCTAGACCCATAATCTCACGCAATATTACTACACCGGTCTGCCGGTAACTACAGTCGTGTAACTCGCAAGCTTAGCAGTCAAGCCTCGTTGCTTTGTAGCCACGCTATGCCTGAAAAGAATCCTGGGAACAATCATCCACGTAGCTTGCCACCGAGAAGGGAGAGTTCAAAGAACAAAACCAAAATCAGAAACACAAACAAAATTTTAATGCTATCAGCAGGACAGACGCAAAGGGTAAACCAAGCAGGCAAAAAACTAAACTGGCCACTGTTAAGAGAGTTTGTAAAGCTGACAACCGGGGCCCAACTGTATATAGGACGGGTAACGCTATCCATGTCTAACGCATAAATCGCTGTGGAGAAGTGACGCGATAGCAAACCGTATAGAGTTATCCAACGGATAGAGATTTATCCAGTAGATAGCGTTAACCGACCTTCGAATAACCGGAGCCAGAGCGTTAGCCCTTCGTATGTGCGAATGAGGAAGGGTTGGTACGGCTCCTGAAATGTCAGCTCAAGAAACTATTTACGGTGGCCACTTTACATTATCAATCAAGTCGATAAAACCAAATTATCTTGTAATACCCCAGGCCGACGTAGCAGCTAGTTTCTTCAGAAATTTACCCCCTTAAGAAAGTGACTGATATGCATGTTTATTACCCTGGGTTAGGCTCAACGGAGAGGAGGTTGGGTGGGAGAAGGAACGAGACTTATTCATGAGAAAGACAGCTTTATTCCCAAGAAATTTAAATGATCTACGGTCAGATGCAGACTTTGTAGCCCTCCAATTACGCTCGGCTCTTCTCCGGTCAAGCTTCGCAGATCTGATCTCATCAGATAACCATGGGGCTTGAGCTCTTTGAATCATCTTTCTCCTCCACCAAGGTGCGTGATTGTTAATGATGTACTTCAAAGTAGTATTAAAACAATCAACAAGACCAGCAAGGTCCCTGGGGGGTGTTCAGTAACAATTGTGAATTACGAAGATCATTCTTAAACTTGGGTGGGGGGAGATCAATCGATTTAATTTTCCAAAACCACAATGTACGTATTACTTCTTCATCTACATACTACTGTGAAGGATACGTCGCTAACGCTAATTTACCATTATAGATTAATCAAAGCTAGGTTCTCGCTCTTCCCTCAATCAGAAGAAATTCCTTACTATGTTATGGTACTTTTGTTTAATCTTTGCCATTCGAATACTGTTTTGCAGCATTGAAAACAGCTCGTTACGTCAATAAGCTGCTCTCTTCAAAAATGTTTTCCGAAAGGTCCAGGATTGCTGTGAAATATCGTGCATATATTAGACTTAAAAAAAATAATAATAATCGGTATCCTCACTGCTAGTTTGCAGTCCTTTCCCCATTGGGTCTCAGTGATCATAAGCTGCCTGATCAGAATTTCAACGCCTCCTCAAGCTCATATCTGATTCAGACCCAGTGACGCTCGCCTTCTTCGGTCAACGATGGCGTCGAAAACGACAGATTTCTGCAAATTAGTTTCAACCCTCGCCCCAGACTCATCACAGGCGTGGCCACCGAGGGTAGCCCTGGCCATGATTGGTGGGTTGAGCGTTATAATCTTCAGTACAGCCTGGACGATGTCACGTGGTTTTACTACGAGAATAAGAACTCGCCTGGATCACGAAAAGTGATGCAAAAATTCCGTTCCTTATAATTAAATATGAAACAATTTTTAGTGTAATAGAAAAATCCGAGCCCCAGATGGAACTTGAACCCACGACCCTCCGTGATCAAGTCGGATGCTCTAACCACTGAGCTACTGGAGACTCCATGGTGAGCAAGGGTCAATTTGTGGGCCTAGACTGGAACCGCATCGCGCGGCTACACAGCCAAGTATTGGTAAGCGCCTGTGAAACTCACTAACAGCATCACGCTGTCACATTAAAGCGATGCGGTTCCAGTCGAGGGCCACAAATTGACCCTTGCTCACCATAAGAGTCTCCAGTAGCTCAGTGGTTAGAGCATCCGACTAGATCAAGGAGGGTCGTGGGTTCAAGTCCCATCTGGGGCTCGGATTTTTCTATAATTAAATAGAAGACTTACCTGATGCGCGGCATCCAGAGCTTAATCCAATTTCTGATGCTTGAAGTAACGAAGAGTAATGCAAGTCTACCCTGGATAGAATAAACTAGTTCACTTCTAAAAAAGTTATTACTCAAGGTGAAATATTTAAGTGGTAATGTTAAAGATGGGTCAGAACTTGTAAGTTTAACAAAACTCTAATTTCAGTCTTTCTAAGGTCTTTAATGGTAACCGCGATAGAAATACAGTCGTGACCAACCAGCGTGACTCTCCCATAAGAGAATTGTACCTTCGTATCTCACCATTGTTTTGGACTGGTAAGATCGCTATAAGACTAGGGGTATACGTCTGTAACACCCAAGGCTCATTACTTGGAAGCCTGTAAATGCTCCGCAAGACAATCCACAAGTTATCACAACTCATCGACAACTGTTTCCTGGTCTTACGCCGGGTGGAGCGTTTGTTCATCGACGAAAACAAACTTGTCTGATTTTAGTATCGTAATGAGTTCACAAATAGTCTAGGTTGTGGCCAATCTTGTTACCATGACCCACCGAGTTCCTTTTAATGAATGGTTGGGAATTGGGGGATAGCGGGCCTGAAACTCTATCTCATTCTCAACTAGTTAAAATGCAAATCCAAAGTCAAAGAAATAATAGAGAATGTATCAAGAAGGGTGCAATATTTAATGACAGAAACAGCCTGGACGGAAAAAGAGGGGACATAAACCGTGGAATCACACGAATGTGACAGATGACCTTCGAACATTAAATTGACGGAGGAAATCTATAGAGCCAGAGATATTCACTCTTTATTACAAACTGTCTTTTCTCTTTAGAATTGCTCACTATTTACAGATGTATATTTACAAGGGATCTTAAAAGTGACCTCAATCATGATGATGAAAAGAATGAAGAACAAACTTTGCCCGTAAAATAAATAAGTAATCTAACGGCGATCCGTGCTGCGGCGACTGGCCCCGCTGCTCGCTCGAGAGGAGGCCTTGGAACCAGCTGCTGAGCCAGGCCTTGAGCTCGTCTTCCTTCCTCGCGCACTGCTTGTAGGAGAGACACCTGGAGACGAGCGAGGAAACAGTAGATCAGTTATTGTCATGGAATAACTAGAGTTAGAATGAGAGTGGAAGAAATGAACCTTTCATCTTGTTTTCAGAACAGTTCCTACAACGTAAATAAATCTGGTGATTACTGTAAGTCGCATTTTGTTATGTTTCTTCACAATAAAATAGCAAGTTACAAAACGTTCGTTTGAATTTTTTTAAATAGTAAAAAGCCATAAATATTGAAATAAATTAAAATTCATCATCTGTTTGTTTTTTACACAAGGTAGGTTACAGGTTTGTCCATCTTAGAGTTTGTTTCGTAGCTGCCACTGTTTCGGTGACATAGCGAGTAACGAAAAAGTATGACGACTAATTTTGCAACGATTGTCGCAAATTCGAAGAAGTCTTTTCAGTATATCTAGTGACCATTTTATGATTTGAGGTCGCCAAGTAGCAAATTGAAAAGAAGTTGAGCGTGGAAACTCAACTAATTCTTAAAAGTTTTAATCTGTGCGTAAGCTGTACTTCAGCAACTGGTCGAACGCCTCGTGATCTTACCTGGCTTTGGACTTCCTACACCAGTAGGGCTTGCGGCTCCCGCAAGAGCCAGAGCTCCGACATCAACAGTACCAACACCTCGGCGACTACCAGTAGAGATCTCAGATCTGTACAATGGAAAATAAAATTCAATTCAAAATTAGTGACAGTTTGAAAATATCGAAAATAAGAAGTGGAAGTCGAATACAAGATCCTCGGTTCTTGCAGGAATATTGTAATTTGGTAATATCAAATAAGTTGAAATTGTAAATTGGCCACCGTAAAAAGTTAAAAAGCTGACGTTTCGAGCGTTAGCCGACATGGCAGAGTATGAGGAGGAGATATAGGATTTTAGAGTGCTTTTCGATTAAAAAGTTGAAAATATCACATGGAGCGCAAGAGGACTAAAAAGTGAAGGCTAGAAAAGTGCTTGAAGCATAAACAAACGCAAGTGACTAAGTCACGATTAGTTCACAGAGCAATGTAAAGGAAAGAAAGCCATTGCAATCCAAAATTTACTTTAGAAACTTATTTGAAAACTGCTCTGGAAATCGCAGCGTGATTAATTACTCATTTTTTTCTCTGTACGATTCTCCATTTTCTATCGAAGGACCCATTTACAAACACACACACTGCCTTACTCACCGAGCAGAGGACAACGTCCCAGAACTCCGCGAGCTACGAGATGATGTTGGCCGCGACATACCGGGGCCTGGGGAAGGAGGCATTGGTAATCCTGCCTGGCTAAAATAGATCTGAACACTGGGTCCAAGATCCGGATGGCTGTGTAACACCTCGCCCATTTGTTTCATGGTGCGTGTGTTAAAGTCCCTCAACTCTCTCAAATCCATGTCCTTTTCCTCGTGGAGTTCCCCTGAACTTTTCTTGGCACTCCTTACAGAGCGCGCAATCTTGCTAGCCTCGCGGGCAGCTCGGTCTTTCTTTGTCTTCTGATCATCCAATTCTTTCTGTAAATTTGTCGCCTTGGCCTGCTTCTCAGCGATGACTTCAACCAAGCCCTGCTCGTCCGCAGTTAAGTTTTCCAGCGTTACCTGCATAGAGCCCAGGTCCTCTTGTAACTCACGGATTTGCCGTCGTTTGTATTTGTATTTATCCATCACAGCTCGCATGTGATCCTCCAAACGCTGTTTCTCGTCAAACTCTTCACTCATCTCGTCCACTTTGTTAAAACTTTTCCGGTAAGTCTCATTTCGGCCGTTCATCAGCCGCAAAGTGTTTTCCAAAGCTCTTTAAATAGAGAAACAAATTACACCATTTTTAGTCTGCCGAGAACCAAATCTTACCGGGCCGTTAGCTAAACGTTGTTCTTATAAAGGAAAATATATCCTTGTTATCATTACTGTTAATTATTTTGCCTGCTTATTCCATTTGAAGGGTGTTACCTTGAAACAAAGTTACATTAACGCTTAACTCTT